GTCCAGTACACTTTCATATATATATATATATATTATTATTGATAATAATATTAAAAACTAAACCAACTAAACCAACACTAGGCACAATAGGTCACAACAACTAACAGCTGTAAACACCAGAAAAAAGAAACGATACAAAACACACATTCCTACCGTAACAGTAAAGAAATAATAAATAGTAGAAAATAAAAATGATAGCACGACATATATAAATCATAATACATACCTCATAATACTATAGTACACATTCGTCGTCAGGGTGGTACCAATACCAAATACTCAAACATAAATGAGAATATCAAATCCCTCAATACCCACCCATATATATATACATATATATTATATAACAAATACTCAAACATAAATGAGAATATCAAATCCCTCAATACCCACCCATATATATATATAATATAACAAATACTCAAATGACAACGACGACGAATATCAAACCTCTCAACACCCACATATATATATATATATGTGAGTATTGAGGGGTAATATGTATATATATATACATACCGTGTTGGTGTTGGAGATGGACGGCAACCCGAAATGCGCACGCATGAGGTATTCGCGGCTGCCGTTGAACTGTTTGATGGTCCACACAATCGCATCTCTGTCGGGCACGTACGTGACGCTGCCGATGCTGCACTTGAACGACGGGCTGTCGACATCTGGCGGCACTGGGATGACAATCTCGACGTTGTTGGCGATACTGCGGCTCTTAAACTGCGACTTGGTCTTGACCATGTACTCGATGCGGCTGCGGGAATGGGGCTCCACAACCGCCTCGACCCAGATCAGCGGCTTGACGTGGGTTTGCAGGCGGTACGTCATCAGGTCGAACTCTCCGTCTGGTGGGATGAAGCTGATGGTGCGGTCGGTTTCAAAGCGCGCGAGCCGCACGCACTGGTGGAACTTGATGTCCTCCATCTCGACCGCCTTGCCCTTGGACGAAGTGCTCCGACCGGTGGCTTCGAATAGCATCTTGTCGTTGAGCCCGAGCTTGAGTTCGGGCATGCCGCTCAAGAATGACTTCATCTTGACGGCGCCGAGGATCTCGGAATGCAGAACTGTCCCGTTGGACGCGACGAGCAAGTTGAGCTTTTCCACAACGTCCAGAAAGATTTCGTTCTTGCGATGCTTGATCCCTTCCGATCGCCACGACACGGCGTTGGTCAATGCCGTCGGCGGGCGCGGCGCAGACTCCATGCGGTGGCCCTCCTGCGTGATGTACTCGCGCAAGATGCGCGCTTCAGTCGTCTGCGGATACCCGTGGTCGATGGTTTCGTCCAGAAGCTCAAAGATGATGACAAAGTTGTCGCGGATGCTTTCTTCCTCCAGCTCGCCAAAGTACTCTTGGAACACTTGGCAGATGCGGTTGAGGTACATGAGCATGAGCGCCACGTTCGAGTTGACTTTGGTCACGGTCATCAGGTACAGATTGTTGTACTGCAGCACACGGAGAAACACATGCCGGCATTAGATACATCGCGCAATCGACGTGATGTAGAGCAGCATGCACATGGTGAGAGAAGCCGCATGAGATCAAGCGATCAATACGTAGCAATGAGGATATCGCTAACGCACCTTGATGTACACGAACGTAACGCCGGACTCGTCGTTGGTGAACACGGGCCGCTGTTCGTTGTCGTCCTTTTCGGTCACATACTGCGTGAACTTTTCCGCGATGGACATGGGGATGTCGCCGCGGTAGTTGCGGCTGATGATGATCTTCCCCTTCAGGTCGGTGATAAATACTGCGCTGAGTACCATCGTCCTTTGTCGACCTAGGAAACCCGCATGAACATGAGTGCATGGCGGCGATCATGAACTTACCACGCTCGCACCGCAAAACACAGTCAGTATGAAAACAGTGCATGCCTCTATTCTTTTATCGGAACGCCGTATTGATTATTAGAGGTTACTATTTTAATTGGTAGAAATATATCCAATCCGACATCGCCATGGAACTGATTCAAAGTCGCAAAACATGGCCAAGGCAACACCGCCGAAGCGAAGGAACGGCCTGAAGAAGAAGGCTGCCGCTGCATCCAAAAAGGCAAAGAAATCCCAGACGCATGTGAAGGTGACGGGTCGACCTGCACGGGCGAGCAACAACGGCAGTGCTCGCACTCTGAACAAGGTCGAGAACGACGCTACGCTGCTGAAGCGACGGAAGTCCGTAGCAAAGCAGGCTGCATCCAAAAAGTCAAACAAGTCCCAGGCATATGTGAAGCTAAACGTCCAATCCGCACAGACACACAGCCTCAGTCGTCGAACCCGACGACACAAGGTCGAGAACGACTTGGCGCCGTCGACGCGAAGGTCCAACGCCGCTGCTGTTCCCTCCAAGGCATCCAAAACCAAGTCCAAGACGCATGTCAAGCTCCAGTTCCAACCTGCATGGACGAGTAGTAGCAGCAGTCCTCGCACTGTGGAAAACGCGAACAAGGGCGAGAACGACGTGCTGGAATGGGTGGGCGACGCTGTCCTCGACGAACTGGTCGGCCGGTCGCTGCTTCGGCATGTGCATAATATCTTCTCCGCGCCAACCACGATCCACACAGTCGACACACAAGCGAGTGACGTGTCCAACTTGGCGCTATTCCGCCAGCTACGTAATGCCCTCGTGACCAACGCCACCCTGAGCGCAGTGTACGACAAGCTGTTTCCAACCATCTTGGTCATCCATCCATCGTCATCGGTCAAGCAAAAGGCCGACGCAGTAGAAACCCTCGTCGGCCGCATCTCGACCCGACACAAATCCGCCAAGGACATCCATCAACTCGACACGATTCTGTCCATGATGCTCCAAGTCGAGTTCACGCATTGGGCCGTGGAACAAGAAGAAACGGCCCGCCAGTCGATCAACCAGTTTAGTCTGTTGGAATCGTGGCTCGACACGGACGACGACGAGGACGCTCTTGCCCTCGCCCCCGACCAATCAAATCACGCCACGTCATCACTGGGTGATCGATTGTTTCCAGCTTCGTCCCCAATCTCCCCCTCCTCCAGAGTCCCATATCCCCCGCCAAAGATCGCCTTCCATGCCTTTGCCGATCCCATGATATCTCCTCGAACTGATGATACATTGCCGTCGGTGGTTGACGTCGTCCGCGCGTGGGTACCGGCGCTGCAAACGTCATCGCATATCGTTCAATCGTCGCGAGTCATGTTTGAAGTGTTCAAGCTGTACGGTCTGTCGGTGCTAAAGGAGCGCATAAGCACATTCCTTGTCCAATCGACCAAGCCTATCTCGACACCATCGAGGAGCCCTGCCACACTCACGAGGGTCCGCCAACAGATCCTCAGCATCGAACGGCTAGCTCAGAGCGCGTCCGTACTCTCGATCGTGTCGACAGACCATCCCACCAAACTCCAAGCCAATACGCTGCGCGCCGCCGTCGGGTTTGCAAGCGCCACGAATCGACCTGACATCGTCGACGCCATCTGCTGTCTGCTAATGTACCTCCATCAAAGCCCCGAAAAGTGCCTCGCATGCGGCACCGCGGCACCCATGGACTTGGACGACCTCGCGCTCCATGAAGGGTCGACGTGCCCATACTCGTTGGCTGCGTTCATAGCGACGCAGTGGCACTCGCATCTGCCATCTGTGACATCGCTCGCCGATCTGCCGCGGACTGCCGCCGCCACCGTCGAGTTTCTCAAACGCCGACACATTCCGTGGGAAACCCAGGAAGACACTCTGCATACGTGGCTGCCTTCTCGATGGTGCGATCTGGACTTGCTAGCTGCACCCACGCTTGACAGTACACCCTCTCGCAAGCGAAAGCGAGTACATGACGGCGAGCGGCAGTCCCCAGGTAAGAAGAAGAACACTAGACGTCTGGCCTCGTCAATCATGTCTTGGGATGTCACACTAATTGAAGTCACACACGAATTTGATGTCGTGGATGATGGTGGTTTCCTGCAATCGGATTGGCTCAATCGTTTTCTGCCAATTCATTCTTGTGTACATCATTTGGTCGCGTCGATTCATATATATATGTCATTTCCGTTTAGACTAATATAAACAATATCTGAACTCAGTGTATAGATTCGACGTGCCGCAAGACATATAACCACTTTGCCTTGTTGAAGCGGTTCTGCCACCGCCGGTTTCTATTTAGCCTGGAGGCGTTGGTCATTGGATTTGCCCAGGTGAGGTGCAATATATTATTAATATATTATTCTGCGCGATGATATGTCACGGAGTATTTGATTGGCCACTGGATTCGAGTTCTGGTTTTTGATTGGTCGTATATCGATTGTCTGCCGAACTCGTACCCCACTATCAAACATGTTGTAGTGTTCACCCAAAATTTGGATTTTTGTGTGCTGATATTCGCCAAATCTATCGATCGATTCTTTGACTGTTGTATGGAAAATATCATCCTTCGTCACACTAATTTCAGGCACACACTAATATTCAATCATGTTGATTTGGTCGAATGTGAGTGGAGAATTTGATTGGCCACTTGATTCTTCATCTGGGTTTTGATTGGTCGTAAATCGATTGTCTGCCGACTTAGCTATTCTGTTCATTCGAATCGAATATCTTGTGAATAGTACGACACGGCGGCGTGCCGGCTGCACCTCCGCGAAGCCGCTGACGACCTCGAGCCGTGCATCGACGACCTGGGCGTGTGCAGTGTGTCGGATCAGTGCTTGTCCCTGGTGCTGAAGGACAGCTTTTATCGGCTGCTCATGCACGAGCTAGTGAATTTCCACCACCTCGATGCTAAAAGTACGTAAAAATATGCTATTCGACTTGTATATTTGTGTTCCTTGCAAAGCTAGTATAGTATTGAAAAATGAAGTCAATTATGTTGCAATCGGGACTTATCAGTCGATGCGTGCGTAGGCCATACAAAACCCAATGGGTTGCGCGTGATGCAAATTCGGCGGCCAAAGGGGTACGTGTGGCCCGAAGATACCTACACGAACGAAGCGGTTGCCATTGTCGACTAACTAGATAAGAAACAATAAAACACCAAATAGTGTGGATTCGATACGAATTTCCAGACCCCGTCGAATCAAATCACGAATCGACGCTATTGGTTAAAATCCATTTTTTGAGTGGATTTGATTGGCTCTTGCAGAAAGGAGGACACGTGTATTCAACCAATCAGAACTCGGGCGTGATTCAATATTGATGATATTTTGGAAGTTTATATGGTGCATCCATATATCTCCGTACAAAAGGCCGGTTGGTTTAAATTCTATTACTCGATCAATTTTTCACCAATCGAAAATCTGAACCGTAACTCCTGTTGGGCTTGTCAAGTTCTATCGTTATTACGGTATATTTTCCTAAATTATATCAATACAAAGTTGGAATAGCTGTCGAAAGTCAAGGCATTTATTTGTAGTCTTTAGGTGACTTGCACCATAGCGAATGCACAATATTGTGAATTCCGGTGAAACTTGCCGTTTTGGGGTGGTTTGACCCTTTGACGCGAAGAGCAATAAATCGACCTCACCATTTGATTCGCCAAAAAATACATTAATTCAGCCAATCAAACATTATTTCCCTGGGAAATGAGCCGCCGACACAGTTTACCACTGCCTATTCGTCTGTAGTACAGACGAATACGCAGTCCGATACTACAGACTCTGTAGTATCGGGTTCTCATGCAAGCATGTACTACGTGTCCACCTCATCCGGCGAATTCCCCCGATGAACATCGTCTACAAATATTTACAAAATCACGATGTTCATCGTGCCAAATCAAGGATTTGGTATAAGAATCACTACAAGTACGGAAAAGATGCAATGAAATAGGGTTCTTCAAAACTTTGATGGCATGAAGTAAATAGGGATAAAGGTAATGATAATATGAAGTAGGATGAAGTTTTAGGATGAAACCTAAAGTGGTGACCAAGCCTTACGTTGGCCCCTAGCGCCCAGGAGGCAGTCTGCGCAAGCGCGGCCGTACGCGAGCGCGGATCTAAGCTTCTCACTTCACCGAATGATCTATCTTTTCTTCTTGTTGGGCAGCGGCAGGTAGGCCGTAGGTCGTACTGCTCCCGGACGAGGCCTGTATGCAATGTTTATCCTAATTTACCCTCATCTCTACTAATTAGGATATGGCCTAATGTTATTGTTGGATGACGTTTGGATGACGTTTGTAAATAATTTCTACCAGTAGTAGTACACAAGCCTTGATGGAACCATTATTCCGGTTAACGATGTCAATCATACATTTTTTCCTCGATTTGATTAAACATCGTCAAGACATCATAAACTGGACACGATGAACATCGTGGGATTTGGTCAGACGTCCTGTGTCAACCTGTTGCACACACATACTGTACTTACTTACCTACTCGGAGTACTCCACTATCCTCGATACTCGAAACTAGGGGGGGGATAGCTCATTGTCAATGGAGGTTTATTAGAATTTTAACCGGAATAGCTCAGGTGGTAGACTTGCAGTTACTCAAAGGTCGTGGGTTCGATCCCCAGCTTCCCCGGATTATTTCCGCAAGGATTTATCCGTCCCTCCCCTGGGAAATCCGGATAACAAGGGCTGCGTACGAAGACGAGGACCGAACTTCGAAGAAGGTCGATCGAAGCACGAAGTATGAAGCGTTGAGCGAAGTATAAACCGAAGATTACACACCGCCCCTGGTCGAGCAGGCGCGTTACAATTGGCGAAGCGGTTCCAAAACATGTGGTTCTAGTGTCGGCCCTCGCGGAGGAATGTCTTAACAGACTGTAAAAATGATAATCCAAACTCAATTAACAGAAAACCTCGATACTCGAACCACATGTTGTAGAACCGCGCCTGCTCCAACAGGGGTGTGTGTAATCTTCGGTTTTTACTTCGCTCAACGCTTCATACCTCGTGCTACGACCGATCTTCTTCGAAGTTTGGTCCTATAGCCCTTGTTATCCGGATTCCCCAGGAGGGCGGATAATTCCTTGCGGGAAGTGGGGGAATGAACCGACGACCTTTGAGTTAAGAAACCGATGCTCTACCACTGTGCTATTTGCACTCCCCGGTTTCGGGGTTCCGAGGTTACAAGGGTACGGGCAAATGCCCACGAAGCGTACACTACACCATTTTGCAGTTAAGTTGGGCGAATACCCAATGTATTTGGCTGTACGCCTGATATATTTATTGGTGTGCCCGACATAATTAGCCATGCGCCCATTTAATTTGGCACCGAGGTCGTATGTCCGATATATTTGGCGGTGTGCCCGATATACATAATTTGCCGTGTGCCCAGTAATGTGACCATCTGCCCGATTAATTGTGTCGTGTGCCCGATCAAAATGGAATAACTCAAATAATTATACCCACTGTCAGTACTATTTAGAGGCTCTGAGAATTTCGGTGATCAAATCTATCATTCATTATTCAAGTCAAACACCTATTACATAGGAAAGTTACTGAATCGAAAAATTCGTGGAGCAAAATGAACAAGGGATCAACGATGGGTCCTGCACAAACTGATAAAGCTTCTCACAACCTTAAGAATCCATGTTTTTGCAGCCTCATCACACTCACCGGCGATGAGTACCGAGACTTCAAAAGTACGACAAGCTGGGCGGAAATTGCATTAAACAACTTACTCGACTTAGGGCCAGTCTGGTAACTTGAAATATTACAATATTCTGCCCCAAAACACCATTTTGGGGCCAAATTCAACAAATCTGATAAGAAGCGAAACTTGTCTTGCTTGAGAGTTTAAACCCAAATCCAATATTGGAGATTCGGTACGAATTTCCGGATCGCCGACCGAACCGGCACCAATCTCTCCGATTGGTCAATCCGCAATTACTTGTCTCTGATTGGCTACAATCCATTTCGATTTTCTACCGGAAAGGGCGAAGTAGATATTAGCCAATCGGATGTCTCGGCTCGGTTTGTGCTCGGTTGAACAAACCATGAAGAAATGGGAAATTTGAAGAAAATCGACAATACTACGTAGTAATTCTTAGTGGATTTACTCTTTGAGGAGGTCCAAAACGTCATACGACGTGTATTACAAAATTGACCTTTTACCTCCATTTTGAAAATGGCATTTTTCGTTTAACCCATTTGGCCAGAAAATGGAATACAGTAATAATATTGAAATGTAACGTGAAGTGCTATTTAAAGTACATATTATTGTGGGTTTTTCCACGATTTCTCTCAGCCTCCTGAGCCCCAAATCGGAAAAGCACCATCACAGAACTAACTCCTGAATATGAACACCTGTAGCATACAACACCGAAAGTTAAAACTAACGTAAAAAACCAGTTTAAGATAACCTTTTTGGAGGCGTTGGCGTAGAATGCACATAATTTTTGACTCGGTTATGATATTTCAGTTCTGAGAATAGATTCCGAATGCCAAGAGACGCACCGCTGCCACGGCACTATCGAATATCCGTTTCCATGTGTAGCATCACATGTAAATTCATTACTTTCTACGCAAATGTACTCACATCGTGAAGACCAATTTAGGATAACTATTTTTATCTTGCTTAATGTATGTGTCACTTGATTGAAATTCTGTGTTTAGGCTAACAGTAAGTAGTTACAACAGGTTGAATATCAATTTGGCAAGGCTATAATTTTGTAGAAAATATATTCTGTTGTGGAAATATGATGAGCGAGTTTCACATGCTGTTAATCTGGTCACCTGGACAGCCATCTTGGACAATGACTGCATCAAACATGCACGATGAGCAGGCTATCGGATCAGCACATATACCCACCACGGATGGCTCAAGAAATGGCAATTACGTTCGATTTACCACTGGCCGAGGCATGGCATGAAAATGAAAGGCAACGGCCCACACACAGTACACCATACCAACCCATGATCATGCTCATCGGCTCCTGTCACATGTATGGGCTCCACCTCTCCCGACTTACGCAGCTTCCGCTCGCCGGTACCTCCGCCGGCCAATTTATTTCCCAAGTATGGTGGGAAAACATGCAACTCCGCGCCGGCCAATACGGGCACATCACACCACGATGGCTGGGCCGTACTGCGCTATCCGCTCAACCCCTTCTGGCACAGCGCGAGATATGGCTCGCACAACAAATGGGCACGGACCAGTCGGCTACATACAACGGCCCCTGCGAGAGCTGCAGTACACGAAAGGACGACGTCTTGGCACCAGGTCACCGGTTCTGGTGGATCGATGCTATCCTACAAGGCCGCACCGACCAATGGTGGAGGACACTCGCAAACGAAATCACAACGACGGCTGCAATGGCCGGCCCGTATGCGTACTGGTGTATCTGCTACAAACACTCCACCGGTCACCGCACACGGGACGTATTAGGGGCCACGTGGAACCTTCAAATCCCGGCGGGACAACTACGAATGCGCCACCACTCCAGAATTACGTACTCATCGCCGACGAGGTGGGCTGGGATGACAAATACGAACAAGGTGGACATACACCTGGGGTACATTGTGTCACCGGACACCAACACCAGCACGCTACCGACACACTGGGCCCACGCGCTTCAGCACTGGGGCCAAATGAACGTGGCTCATGTATCCACCGCGCAACACTCTCCCCAGCCCCCCACCGGCGTACACTCATGCACTCCGCTGGGATGCCGATACCGACGGCGACCCAGAAGATCCGACGTGTACAGCTGGCTGCGAGCCAGTTTTCCCCTTATCTACCGGGCGCCGGCCGCATGGTAACGGCTTCCGACAAACGTAAACGACCAGTGTTTGGTGTATCCTTTTTGGCGCCGGAGTCAATTGCGAGTTTTGAAGCTCAGAGGTGTCGGATTGAAAATCCAAGATTGGTCCCAAAGAGCTGAGGATCAGGGCTATCGAAGTATTCAAGTTTCGGTTGAATCTAACATGTTATTTTACAAGTTTCAAAGCAATATATGTCAAACTTCATGGACCAGTCTAAGGTGTGATTTTTTCATTTGAAAACTGTATAAGGAATTGCATATTTATTTTGAGGATAGGTTACTAATTATGGCGAGGTAAATATTATATATGCGCAGGTTATAGAATCATAGGATTCCTTCCAGCTTCAACGGCACTTCCGATTTTTCAAGGAACGAACGACAAGAAGAAAACAAGCGCCAAACCAAATCAAGAGGTATTAGACAACGACTTCATTATCACCATTATCAATGGATCTAATCTGACCACTAGGCAAGGGCTTCAATCCATACGTTGCAGCGATGGCTGCCCACTTCAAGGCGACCTTTGACAAGGTAATGCGCTTGCCATTTTTGCCACGCTTTCCGCGTTTCTTCTGTAGGACCGCCTTTTGCATGGACGCAGCTTG